TTGTGTGTGTGTGTGTGTGTGTGTGTGTGTGTGTGTGTGTGTGTGTGTTACAAATAGAGGAAAATTCTGCCTACAGAACAGTTTGGGGCTGGAACAGAAGACGGAGAATAAAAATACATATATTTGGTCTTTGTCCCTGGTTCCTGGCACAGAGCTCCTTAAATCCTTAGAATTTCCTGAGTCATAGGAGTAGAGCCAGTCCCTTTGGACCACATCTGTGTTTATGCTAATGAGTGACTTAGAGCAATCTAGAGCAGCGGTTCTCAACCTGTGGGTCGCGGGGTTGAACGACCCTTTCACAGGGGTCGCCTAAGACCATCGGAAAACACATCTATAATTACATATTGTTTTTGTGATTCATCACGATGCTTTAATTATGTTCAATTTGTAACAATGAAAACACATCCTGCATATCAGATATTGACATGACGATTCATAACAGTAGCAAAATTACAGTTATGAAGTAGCAACGAAAATAATTTTATGGTTGGGGGTCACCACAACATGAGGAACTGTATTAAAGGGTCGCGGCATGAGGAAGGTTGAGAACCACTGATCTAGAGGGTGCGGGAACTTTCAACACTACCCCCTCCCCCAACTCCAGCAGGGGCCGGGGACTGGAGAGCAGAGCCGGGGTTGGTGAACGCAGTGTGTTGGGAGGTGGCTCGCCTGGAGAGGGCATGGAAGCTCTGTACCCATCCCCCCATACTGAAACTGGACCACCCAGGCGACTGGGCTGCCTGTCACTACTGGAGCCAATTATGCAGAGTCAGGTTTGAATCATATATGAGCATTTATTCCAATAATGCCTGCGGTATGGCCGAGCAGCAGGTCATCCATGAAAATCTGCTCCGCACCCCCCATAGGCCAGCTGCTGATACGGGCTAGGACAAAGATTACATGGGGAGGTAGGCAAAAGGGATAAAAAATGGGTATAGGCCGGCTGGTGTGGCTCAGTGGTTGAGCATCAACCTATCAACCAGGAGATCCTGGTCAAGGCAGATGCCCGGATGGCAGGCTCGATCCCCAGTAGGGGGCGTGCCAGAGGCAGCTGATGGATGATTCTCATTGATGTTTCTATCCCTCTCCCTCTCCCTTCCCCTCTGAAGTAAAAAAAAACCTATTTTATTTTTTAAAAAATGACAGAAAAAATATATAAAAATAAAAAATGACAGGAAGAAAGGGCATATTTTTTAAATGGATATAATGGTTACAGATGACAGGCATTGGGGGCTGAGGTGGGACTCCATTGTTTGGGCAACAAGGTTGTTAATCTGTCCGTGATAATAGGCAGTTTGGACCACATTCCAAAGTTGACTCCCAGGTCCGGGGGCGTACAACACCCGGCCAGGTTAGAATGTGCTTGCTTTCTTTTTTATGATTAATATTTCTTATAACTAATAGCTAGTCCTCAATATTCTATTTCTGCCCCTAACAATACCTTGCCCCACACATCTCTTCTATTTGGCTGTTCCTGAGTTGTATCCTTTTTAATAAACTGGTAATAGTAAGTAAAGCACTTCCCTGCATTTTGTGAGCCTAAGTACTAAATTATCCACCCTGAGGAGGGGGTGATGGCACCCTCAAATTTGTAGTTGGCCAGAGTGTCGGTTGCCTGGGCATCCCTTTTGTGGCTGGCATCCTGTGGGACTGAGTCTTTACCCTATGAGGTCTGTGTTGACTCTGGGCAGTTAATGTCAGGACTGAATTGAATTGTGGGTACCCAGTTGGTGTTGGAGAATTGGTGTGGGGAAACCACAGGTATTTGGTAACTGGGGAAAAAACACATTTAGTGTGAGAAGTGGTGTCAGAAGAAAGACACCACAGCAGATACGCATTCTGTCCCACCCCCTTTAAAAAAACAAAAAACAACTGAGTCACACTGGCCTGGGTTTGCAGGACAGATTTTTAAATCTAGTAAGGTCAGTTTTGTGTGGCTTCTGGGTTTTGTGTCATAATTAAAAAGATCTTTTCCACACTGAGGTGACTACAAAAGCTTCTCCTTATTCCTGGCTATATTTTGTTTTCATTTTTATATATATAAATCTTGAGTTCATCTGTCATTTATCGTGTACAAAATTTCCTCCCATTTTCCTAACAGTTTTTTATTGAAAACCTTATCTTTTTAAAAATATATATATTTTTAAAAAAAAGAAATATCAATGATGAGAGAGAATCATCGATTGACTGCCCCCTGCACACTTCTACTGGGGATCCAGCCTGCAACCCAGGCATGTGCCCTTGACCGGAATTGAATCTGGTACTCTCCAGTTCGCAGGCCAATGCTCTATCCACTGAGCAAAACCAGCGAGGGTGAAAACTTAATCTTTTATTAAGGCATAGCTGACATGCAATAAACCACATACACTTAAAATGTACATTTTTGTTTTGACATGTATATACCCTTAAAACCATTACTGATCAAGATAATTAGCATATCCATCATCCAATAAGTTTCCTCAATCCCCTTGCTAATCCCTCCCTCCCACCCATTGCCATCTGCCAGCACCTCCATCAACTACTGATCTGCTTCCTGTCACTAAATTGGCGTCCCTTTTTAAAGAATTTTCATATAAGTGGAATTCTATGAATATGCACTCTCTCCTTTTTTTATTTTATTTTTTCTCTCCTTTTTTTAGTATGCACTCTTGTCTGGCTTCTTACACTCAGTATAAATTATTCTGAGATTCACCCATTATTGTTCCTTTTTACTGCTGAGTAGTATTCTATGCTCACAATTTGTTGATGAACATTTGGTTGTTGCTAGTTTGGGCCATTACAAGTAAAACTACAATGAATATTCATGCACAAGTCATTATACGGACATATGCTTTTATGGGTAACATTGCCTAGGAGTAGAATGGCTGGGTCATATGTATGTTCAGCATTTTTTTTTTCTTTTTTTAAAGATAGACTGTTTTTCAGAGCAGTTTTAGGTTTACAGAAAAATTGCTTGGCGGGGACTCTCTCCCCCTCCCCACGTGGGAGTCTGTACTTGTTCTTCAATAAATTGGCACCTTTACTACACAGTCTTCTGTCCGTGATTTCATTCTTCGACTCCAACAGACAAAGAGCCCAGGGAAAAGCCATCCTGCCCAGAACACCACGCGTTTCCAGTCCAGAATTTCCATATCATAATGGTGCACAGGCCAGGAAATTCATAAGTCTAATCTCTTCACAGCGAGCAAAACAGAGCCAGGGTCAAAAGCGGAACGGACCTCGACAGGAAAAATTGGTACCAGAAGAGAAACACTTCGCCAGAGATCCAAAGACCCTGCCACCGTGGGAGAGGTGCCCTCTGAAACCAGTGCCCCGGCAACTGAGAGGGTTGATGATCTTCTTGACTTGTGCATGGGAGTTCGAGGTATTGAATGAGCCACCACAGTATTTGAAGCTGGAAAGGGCAAAGGTGATCCAGATGGATTCGCTGTGGCACTTGACAAAGCTCTTGGAGACGTTACGTTCCCAGATGCATTTGTCTTTGATGTTTGGGAGCCGTTGGTGATGCCGAACAAGGATTATGATGTGGATGTCCGTCACTGGAGAAATGAACCATTGTTCCTGGGTGTGTATTTTTTAAATAAACCTAAACAATCTGCTTTTAGGGGGAAAAAATTGCCCAGCAAGTAGAGAGAATCCCCATAG